TTTTTTTTTTTTTTTGAATGTTAGAAAGTGCGCATTTTTCTCTATTAATATCTGAAATAACATTAGTTTTTACTTTCACAACGTTAATTTAATAATGCTGTTTTTTTTCTACTTTTTAATTTCCTACATGACTGCAGCCAAAAAATTGAACAAATATAAAAAAATTAAACTTCTTCATTTTCTTGGATAATTCTTAAAAAAAAGTAATTTTTATTATAAAATCTAACAGAAAAAAAAGAAGAGTTTAAAATTGATTTAAAAGTTGATTAAAAAGTGAAAAATTCTGTCAAACAGATGAAAATGACTGGTCGTAATATATCATAGAAGTCCTAACAACAGGTAAATTCGCTAAAGCGTTTAAAACAGTGTGTTATCTGTAAGCAGAAGAAATGAAAATTTTTAGATCTCATTTATCTTGTATTTGGTAACAGAACTTTTTCATCCAAAAATTTGGTAATGGAAATAGAGTGAAAGAACTGAGTGAAACCGAAGAATCAGAAAAGAATATTGAAGAAAAAAATGAATACTGAAAAAAAAAAATGAAAAAAAATGAATAAAAAAATGAATAAAAAATATTCAAATCGTCATCTATAAGACGACAGCAGCTTCTTTTTCTTTTCCATTTTTAATTTTGTCGATTTGAGAAATACGATTCAGCAAAAACTTAAACTACCCAGTAATTTTAATGCCTTTCCTATTCGACAAGTAATTCTACTTTATAGCAAAAATTTTTGGAAAATCCATGTAGTAAAAAAGAACAGATACTTTTTTTTGTTTAAATGTACCAATTAAACTACATTCTAAATAGTAGTGTTACAAAGCTTTATCGCAATCTTATTGAAAGAATTAGAAGAGGGGCACAAAAAATTTAATCATAAGAACAGAGTTAAAAGAAGACCGCTTAACAGAAAAATACTTTAAGGATAGTATAACTGTAATAGAAGCTGCTTTTACTTCAGTTGTCCTAAAGATGACATTTAGATCGTTGTTCTGATTGGTAATATGGTAGAGTTTTTAATTTTTTCTTTTTCTTAAACAATGAACGATTGAAAGTTAACATTTACCTTATTTCTGATACTGACATATCCTTAGTGTATTGGCTGATAAACCATTTCAGCCTGAGAACATTGTCAGAAGTCATTTTTTCCCAACGAGAGGAATGTGCTGCAAAATTTTAAACGGTGAACATCAAACTGTCGTCATTTTTAACATTTATTATTTTTTAACTCTGTTTTTTTTCTACACAAACATTTTTTGTTGTATTTGTGTCATCTTAACAAAAACGGCAGTACCTATGAATAAAACGTTTGTTCAGTGGTATCCGTCAGTTGCTTTTAGCGATCTTGACACTATAAATAATTTTGGGCTTAGAAATAATCAATTCTTTCAGTGTTAGGTTTCTAATTTTGCTTTTTTTTAAG